GGCTCCCTGCTCTGCAGGAGGCCTCCTTCTCCCTCTCCCACTCCCCCTGCTTGTGTTCCCTCTCTCGCTGTGTCTCTCTCTGTCAAATAAATAAATATAATCTTTAAAAAAAAAAGAAAGAAAGAAGAACCCAAGAATACTGCAAAAAGAACAATCTTGAGCTTGGGATAATCTGAGAATCCTAAAAGGATGAATCTGATGACTATTGTATTGTTCCTTCCTCCAGCCATTGTCTTGAAGTATCTTCTATCTGCAGAAAGGTCCCTGGGTTAATGATTGACTATCTCAATATTACAAAACTTACCTGTTTTGAATATGGTTTCATTATTTGAACAAAAAGTTATCCACAGTCGTGACAACTTTTTTAATATAAAAATTTTTTAAAAACCATCGGAGAGCCCATTTCACAACTACTCTTAATACTTTGGAATACATTCTTGCAAATATTTCTACACACACACACACACACAAAATGTTACCAAATTGTTTCTAAAAGTTGGTACCAATTTACACAAGTATCAAGATTTTATGACAATATTCCTGGCCATTCTATTGTCAACACTACCCATAATTATTCAACTTTAGTTCTTGGTGATCTTAGATGAAAAAATTATTTCATTGTTTTTAATTTTACATTTACTTTACTGATTTGCTCATATACATTTTTTGCCTATTTGTCTAATTGGCTGTTCATTATTAATTTGTAGGAGCTCTTTACATACCCAGAATGATAACTTTCTCCCTCATACATGTTGCTAATTCTTTTCCAACTTTATTATCATCAACATTGTTTATGTTGTATTTTGCTATACAGATTACTTTTATTTTTAGGTAGTCAATTTTCTGTGATATATATGATTCCTGGCTTTGGTTTTACTGAAAAAGATTTCTTTGCACAACCCCAAAATACTTTTTCCTATATTTTTTGTTCTTTGTATTTTTATATTTACATTTAAATTTTCTTGAATATTTTAGCATATAATGCAAGGAATAAGAGTCTGAGATGACTTTGATTTTGGCATTCCAAACTGATTGCCACTTGTCTCAGCACAATTAATTGAAAGATTTCTCCACTGATTAAAGTCACCTTTTTGAAAAATTTTTAATAGATTTCCTACTCTGCTCAATTTTTATTTAATCTGTCAGTCCATGTGCCACCTGTCTAGTCCTGCACATTTTCTAATGACTTACAATCATTTTTATTAATAAATTATAGAACCTTTTGATAACTGATAAGAAAAAAGTTCCCTCATTTTTTCACTGAGATTGTCTTAATGGTTCTTATTCTCATTTGTCTTCAGAAGATCTTTACGTTGAACTCATCATACAAATAAAATGGAATTCTTATTGCATTTTATTATTACATTAATTTGAGGGAGAAAGAAGTTTTCTTTCTGCAAAGCTGTTGAATTAAGTTATAGAAGAGATAACACTGGGGGCGGAGCAAGATGGCGGAGGAGTAGGAGACCTGGATTTCGTCTCCTCTCAGGAATTCAGCTGGATAGGGATCAAACCATTCTGAACACCTAC